CTTTGTATGGTGGGTATCTTTCCCCAGCTCATACAGGCAAGTTTGTCATGGAGAATGGAAGAGGTTCTAACTACAGAAATAGTACAATAGCAGAGATATTCTAATTTTCCCCAGTGTAGTTACTTATTCATTTCCTCTGCCGAATGACATTTGTTAGCATGTGTCGATGGATGGGTATGGGACACGGAGGGCAAGTAGTGCTCTTGGTACTTGGGGATGGCAGCATTTATCATTCTGCTTTGGGTTTCTCCTAATTTTGTTTTCATCTTTCCTGACATTTAGGGTTGGTTAGGACATATGCTAAGTGCCAGGAACCAAGCACCAATTAGTATTGAAAGAGAAGAAAATGGAAAAAGAATAATAAGAAAGGATGAAGGAAGACTTGAAAAGGAAAGGAAAAAAGAGGAGGGAGTAAGGAGGGAAGAAAACAGGAAGGATGATGCCATCTTATTAAAACTTTGTGATCCAAACAGGTGTTCCACTGGCATGATTAACTGGAGGGAGCAGAAGGTGAAGGTAGTAAGGGATGTTAATAATTATTCATTGCTGTTTCTAATTTTGTTGTTATTGTTAAGTGCTGTCAAGTTGGTTCCGACTCATAGCAACCCTGTATAGAGTTTCCAAGGAGTGTCTGGTGAGTTTGAACTGCTGACCCTAAGGTTCAAACCAATCATGCAGTCCAGCACATTAACCCACAGTGCCACAACATATTAGAACAAGAATTAAAGAACATTTTCAATCACCTCATATGCATATGAAAGTTGGGCAATGTATAAAGAAGACATTAGGGACGCTTCGGCCCAGAGTCAGGGACATAGCCACAGAGGACTAGAGTGAAGAGTGAAGCATCCAGCGGATAAGAAGAGAGGGCATATGCACAAGAATACCCACACTTGCAGATAATACCCACTTGACCTGGCTTCAATGACTGGATGATCAGAGCTCAACTAGAAGAAGAAAGAAGAGGAAAAAAAGAGTAATCTGATACAATATGATGAACTTGACCTACACCTATGGATGCAGTAGCTCAAAAGAGAGAACCCATCTTTACAGCAAGGATCATTCCCACTCCTTCCATACACAGAGTAGATAGGGATGGGCAACTTGGACATTGGCTACCCAAAGGGGGAGGGGGCTACAAAAGCAAGAAGTGACTGGCTTACTGGTATACCCTAGATCCAGAGGGCATGGAAGAAGATAGAATCTCCACTGAGTAGTATCCAATCTGTCTAGGTGGGGCTGATGAAAGGAAATGCGGATAGGTCTCTTGTGATACAATAGTGAATAATTGTTATCAGGACTGATTGTGAGGGTTGGAAATGTAAAGGTAGATGTTTTGTAGCAAGGAGGGCAGTGACTAACTTTGCAGTCTAGGAGTGGAGGTCCCTGGGACCATCAAGGTAGAAGAGCTGAGAGAGGGACTTTACCCAAAGAAGCAGTGATACCAGAGATGGAGGCAGAGATGATGACGTGGAGAGATGGAGCAGCTGGGAATTTTAGACCCAGACAGGGAGAGGGGCTGTGTGCTGAGGACCAGGTAGGGAGGGCAGGCTTATAGGGTATACCCTTTGGTTGGTTGATGATGCATGGAGATTATAACCATGGCAATGAAATGATATACAATAGGATGAACGTAAAACTAATGTTCTCCCATGTAAACTATCACATAATTCACAATAAAACATTAAAAAAAAAAAAGAAGACATTAGAAGAGTCGAAGCATTTGAATTATGGTGTTGATGAAGAATACTGAAAATACCATGGACTGCCAGAAGAGCAAACAAATTTGTCTTGGAAGCAGTATAGCTGGAATGCTCCTTACAAGCCAGGATGACAAGATTTTGTCTTTCATACTTTGGACATGCTGTCAGGAGGGACCAGTCCCTGGAAAAGGACATCATGCTTGACAAAGTGGAGGATCTGAGAAAAACAGGAAGACCCCAACGAGATGGATTGACACAATGGCAGCAACAAGGGGCTCAAATATAATCATAAAAATTGTGAGGATAGCACAGGACTGGGCAGTGTTCTGTTCTGTTGGACACAGTGTCAGTAGCTGTGAATCGGACCTGACTAGATGGCATCTCACAACAGAAGAAACATTTGGTTACCTCACTCACTGAACTGATTTTCTAGAGGAGCTTCTATAATAAATAATCACAAACTAGATGACTTAAAACAGAATTTTATTCCCTCACAGTTCTGATGGCCAGATGTCTGAAATCAAGGTATCTGAAGGGCCTCACTCCTGGAGATTCTAAGGGAGACTCCTACCTTGTCTCTTCTAACTTCTGGGCGCTGCCAGCTTTCTTTGTGGCTGCCTTATTCCAGTCTCTTGTCTCCATCTTCCCATGGCCTTCTTCTCTTCTCTCTGCATGTCTCTCTTTCATGTGTTCTTATAAGAACAATTGTCACTGGATTTATAACCCACCCAGATAATCTCACCTGGAAATTTTTATTTACATCTGCAAAGACCCTTTTTCCAAATAAGGCCACATTCACAGGGTTCTGGGGATTAAAATGTGAACAAATCTTTGGGGGCCTATATTCAATCCATTAATTATACTCACTGTTGTTAGTTGTCATCAAGTTGATTCTAAGTCATGGCAACATCCTGTGTGCAAAGTAAACCTGCTCCATTGGGTTTTTATGACTTTGACGTATCATCGGGCCTGTCTTCTGAGATAGCTTTGAAATATCTACCTTTACTAGTAGTTAAGTGCTTAACCATTTGTGCCCCTCAGGAACTCCTAATCCATATTTATTATCAATCCATGTTTTTCTTACAAGATCTAAGTAGAAAAACTTCTTTTAATTTGCTGCTCACCACAGCTTCAGACAACCCTGGGTTTGAATCTCCTCTTTCTCAATGGCTTACTATGTGACCTTAAGTACTTTGTTACATGTCTCTGAGCCTCGTTCATTCAATAAGTGCTTATGGATGGCCACTGTATGCCAGGCACTATCCTGTTGTTGTTGTTGTTATGTGCCGTGGAGTTGGTTCCGACTCATAGCGACCCTGTACAGGGTTCCCGAGGCTGTAAATCTTTAGGGGAGCAGAAAGCCTCATCTTTCTCCTGCGGAGCAGCTGGTAGTTTTGAACTGCTGACCTTGCGGTTTGCAGCCCGATTCGTAACCACCAAGCTACCAGAGCTCCTAGACATTGATAAATGTCCTACCTTTGTGCAGCTGACATTTTTTGAAAATTAATTTTCGTTGTTGCTGTTGAAAATATACATAGCAGAGCATATATCAACTCAACAATTTCTGCCTGTACAATTCAGTGACATTGATTACATTCTTTGACTTGTATAATGGATACACACTCGCCTTTTCTGAGTTGTTCCTTGCTCATTAACATAAACTTTCTGCCACCTAAGTTTTCTATCTAATCTTTCAAGTTGCTGTTGTCAATTTGATCTCATATTATTGTTGTTAAGTGTCTTCAAGTCTGTTCCAACTCATAGTGAGCTTGTACAGGATTTCCCAGGAGCAGCTGGTGGGTTTGAACTTCCAGCTTTGTGGTTCGCAGTCCGTTGCTGATCATATGCTCAAGACAGACATTCTTTACCAGTTACACTAAAACTATTATTTAGTTTTAAGGAGCCCTGGTAGTGTAGAGAGTTACGAGTTAGGCTGCTAGTTGTAAGGTCAGCTGTTAAAATCTACCAGGTCCAGCTGGCTCAATGACACATAACCACCACCTTTATTCGGTTTTAAGACTTCAGAGGATATTTTTGTTTAAATTTTAAACATTATTTCAGGGCAATAGTTTCCAGAGCTCATCTTAGCCTCCAGGGCTCCAGAAAAATCTGAAGTCCATGAAAATTTGAAATTCTGTTTTGCACTTTCCGCCTTGTGATCAGGATTCTTTTATTGACTCTTTGATCAAACTGTTTAGCAATGGTAACTGGCACCATTCAGTTCCAATCTCATGGCAAAAGAGGCGATTAGCCAGACATTCTATTTCCTTTACTACTCCAGACTCTGTAAGGAGCTCTGGTAGCATAATGGTTACAAATCGGGCTGCAAACTGCAAGTTCAGCAGTTTGAAACTACCAGCTGTTCCATGGGAGAAAGATGAGGTTTTCTGCTCCTGTAAAGATTTACAGCCCCGGAAACCCTGTACAGGGTTGCTATGAGTCGGAACCGACTCCACGGCACTTAACAACAACAACTCCAGACTCTCCTTCTTTCTCTCTCTGTGGAACTGACCTTTGTTGTTGTGAAATGCTGTCAAGTTGGTTCCGACCCATAGAGACCCTGTATAGGGTTTCCAAGGAGCAGCTGGTGAACTTGAACTGCCAACCTTGCAGTTCAAATGACTTTGCAGTCTGACGCATTAGCCCGCAGCGCCACACCAGGAACAACATAAGAAGAGTAAATTCATGTTCCCATCGCACAACCTGCCTACTTTCCCACCATGAACCCATTTCACTCTATACCAATATCCCAGCATTAGGTTAAGTGGACATAGCCTAAGAAGCCCTTTCTCCCTCCTCTAACCATTGCCACTGACCTGTTGCCCATTGAGGCCCAGATCCCATGGCGGATCCTGTCTTGTTCCTGGGCTCCCAGGGAGCCCAGACAACAGCCTAAGCTCGATGTTTCAGAGCTGCCAGGGGAGCCCAACTCACTCCAGGGAGACCAGTGTGCTAGGTGTTGGGGCTGGGGATTGTCACACCCAGGAGCTGATGTCACAAAGCCCTCTGCCACAGCTGTGAAGGGGGCCTGCCCCTAGCCTGGCCCCACAGTGGCAGGAGCCCTCCCCTCCCCCTGCCCCTCAAAGAGGAGTCCCCTACCTGTCCCTGAGAGTTGGTACTATGAAAAGGTAAACTTGCCAGGCAAAGCCGCACCCAGAGCCAGCAGTTACAGCAAGAGTCCTGGCTGCAGGGACCCACTCCATCTGCTGCCTCCACCGCATTCATTCTTACCACCTGGGCCCCTGGACCCACTTCACCTTCTCATCCTGCCACAGAAACACCTCACTTCACCCAAGTATGGCCAACTTCTACGAAGTGTTGGGGGTGCAGTCCAGTGCCTCTCCAGAGGATATCAAGAAAGCCTACCGTAAACTGGCCTTACGATGGCACCCTGACAAGAACCCTGACAACAAGGAGGAGGCAGAGAAGAAGTTCAAGCAGGTGTCTGAGGCCTATGAGGTTCTCTCTGACTCCAAGAAGCGCTCCCTGTATGACCGCGCGGGCTGTGACAGTTGGCGGGCAGGTGGTGGGGCGAGCCCACACTACAACAGCCCCTTTGACACTGGTTACACCTTCCGAAACCCTGAGGATATCTTCCGCGAGTTTTTTGGTGGCCTAGACCCCTTCTCCTTTGACTTCTGGGACAACCCGTTCAACAGTGACCGTGATGCCCGGGGCTGTGGTCTGCGTGGGGCCTTCTCAGCCGGCTTTGGCGAGTTCCCAGCCTTCATGGAAGCCTTTTCAGCCTTTGACAACATGCTGGGCCGTGGAGGGGGTGGCAGCCGCACCACCTTCTCGTCCACCTCCTTTGGGGGAGCTGGCTCAGGCAGCTCAGGGTACAAGTCAGTGATGTCATCCACTGAGATGGTCAACGGACGGAAGATCACCACCAAGCGCATTGTGGAGAATGGTCAGGAACGTGTGGAGGTTGAGGAGGATGGGCAACTCAAGTCAGTGACCGTTAATGGCAAGGAGCAGCTCAAACGGGTGGACAGCAAGTAAGCGCTGGCCGCTCGCCACCTGCCTCTTACCACCACCACTACAGGGCCACAAGTACAAGCTGATGGTCAATAAATATGCCTAGTGAGTTCATGAAAATACCCACCCAGCATTATAGGGGACGCGGTGGTGGGCGTCTTGGCAGGTCTTCCTGGTGCTGGCTGGAGGTATGACTAGACATATGAAGCACACCCGTGTGTGTGTGTGTGTGTGTGTGTGTGTGTTTGTGGTGGACCAGTGGGCACGGCACCCAAGATACAGGGGAGGGTCTACAAGTGGCTGCTCCTCTCTTTTATTCCAGGCTGCATGGATTGATGAGTATTAGAACATCACTCTGTGTCTGTCTCTGTTCGATCCCACCACATGTCTCCAAGCCACTGTCTTCCTGCTATGGATTTTCAATGACTTCTGTTTAACTCTCCCTCCCCGCAGCCAATACATATACTGAGTCTTTACCTGACAACCTAGACCAAGTGCAAGTGATGTCATGCTACCTGCTTTGCTTTATACATTCAATGGACCCTTCTGCTCTAAGCATAAAGACATCATGCCTCATCTTCACCTGGTCACCTGGTGACCCCTGCCCACCTCTCTGTATTTAACTTCCTTCCATCTCCACCCATGCTGGCCTTCCCACTGCGATTCCACTGCACTGAGGACTTTGCAGCCTCAGGGCCTTTGCATATACCATTGTATCTGGTGCTCCAACCCTTTGTTCAAAAGTTACTTTTTCAAGGAGGCCTTCCCTGACAGTTCTGTTCTGGATTAGTTTCCACCTATTCCACTCTGCTTTCTCACATGGCCTGTTTCTTCATGGTCTGTACCACATTCTGAGTTCTATCTGAGTGATAATGTATCTCTCCCACCATCCTGCTTTGTCTTCACTGTGTCCCCAGAGTCTACAGCAAAGCTTGACACGTGGGGTGGGGGTGGGGTGGGGTGCATGCCTGTTAGAAGAGTGAACGTTTGGGGGCTGTATGTGTGTTGGGATGTATGGCTGTCCCCAGCAGGCCAGCACTGAGGCAGTCTCTATGGGGATGCAGTAGTGTGAAACAGGAAGTGGGGGACAGAGCTGCACCTGCTCGGGGTCCCAGACATAGTTTGGGATAGAGACCTGTCTCTGCTGTGGTCATGGCCGTGGCCTGGTCTGGCTTCTGGCATGGTACTCTGATGGTGGGCAGCATTAACTGAGTTAGTGGTCAGAGTCTTCAAGGAGTTTCTAATCTGTGGAGCAGGGTGGTATCACAAGACTATCTAACAAACCAAGGCCATGAAGACAGAGATAAAGACCCCAGGCCTGTGTTCCAGGAACTGAGACCCTATGTGTGACTTCTCAAATTACCCCAAGTGGTTCTATAGGTGGTGTTGTTGTTAAGTACCATCGAGTCAGTTCTGACTCATAGCGACCCTGTATAGGGTTTCTGAGGAGTGACTGATGGGTTTGAACTGCCAACATTACTGTTAACAGCGCAGTGTATAGCCTACAGTAACACACCAGGACTCCACAGGTGGCGTTAGAGGGGGGTCTGTGGCTTCAGGGTCACACAGGTGTGGATGCTGTGTACCTACTTCTGTTTGCATGTGTGGGGCACTGATACTGAAGGATGGTTGGGTTCCAAGAACACTGGTTTTGCTCATTGCTGATCTCCAGTACCTAGTGCAGGACGTGGATATAGTAGGTGTTCAATAAACACTTGCTGAGTGGAGGGATTTGTGTGGGAATAGTTGCATGTTTGGCGCCTATGGGAGGGCTAATGCTTTGAAGGAAACCACAGGAAGTCCAGGCTCACATTCTTAGATGCACTCAGTCCAAGGGAAGCAGCCCATGAACAGTTAAAACAATTAGAAACAAGAAGATACTCACCCTTTGAAACTGGTATGAATGTAATGAATCTGCTTTAAAGAGCAGAAGGGAGTCAGAGGCCTAAGTCTGTCTGGGGAGACCTAGGCCTCCCGTTGGGTTTGCAATGGATAAGGAAAGGAGCTAGAGGTCTTAGTAGGTCACAAGCATTATGTGACCAGAGAAAGAGGAGTTCTGCTTAGACCTGTGACCACAATTTTGGGAGAGGCAGGGCAGACCTGGGTGAGTTCAGAGTGGGGGGATAGGGTGAGGATCAGAGACCGCATTTTCAGAAGAGCTGGGAAGAATCACCTAATAGAGAAAGGTCACCTCATGAGACTCCAGTTCCTGTCCCCAAGTCTCTCAAGGCCAGGAGAGCAAGGGTCAGGTTTGGTGTCCATGAAGGAAGGTGATGTTACAGGGAGGCAATCTTGTGGAATGAGAGCTTTCTCCAAATCAGAGCAAGGCCCCTAGGGAGAGAGAGGGAGCTCCCTTTCCTGGGAACTCAATATGTGCTCAATGAGGGAAAAGTAAATTGTTTACTGATTTCTTGTGGGCTACTTACTTACTGAGTGCCAGGTTTCTAAAAATTACATTTTAAAGTACTGTTTATTCAGTGCAATTTTAAAAGTGTTTACTGAGCATCTATTATGTGCTATGTATAATTCCAGGCACTGGAGATACAGCAATGGGCAAAACAATTAAATTCCTACCCTCATGAAACTAACATTCCAGTTGAGGGATACAGATAAACAGATATACAATATATTATCTTAAGTTGTACCAAATGCTAGAGAGTAAATAAAGTCAGGTGAGCAGGTAGATAAGGGCAGGTCAGGGGAAGGGCAGGGTTTTAAATGGGGTGGTCCAAGACAGCCTTTTTTTTTTTTCCCCAAGACAGCCTTTTTAAGAATATATTATCAGAAAATTGAACGAAGTGGGAATGTGAACCATACCTGAGAGAAAAGCATTCTGGGCAGAGGGAACAGCAAGTGCAAAGACCCTGAGGTTGGAACAAACCTCCCCTGTTTAAACAACAGCAAGGAGGCCATCAAAGTGGATAAACACAGTCCCATTCAATACCACAACTTTCTCAAGCAGAGATCATTGATTTTGTGTTACACAAGAGGAAACTGAGGCATGAGAATGATAGGCCCAGGGTTGTATAGCTGGCAATTGACTGAGCCAAAACCTCATCCAAAATATTGGCTCCAAAGGAATTACCTTCACAATAATATTAATGATAAGAATAATAATTGCAGCAATAGCCAAAGGTAGATGTGTGTGTGTGTGTGTGTGTGTGTGAGTGAGTGAGTGAGTGAGTGTGTCTAGTGAAGGAATTGCATGCTGGTAAGTCCTTGATCCTTGGGGGCTGCAATGGGGATGATTCCAGATTTCAGGGTTGAAGGCTGACTACTGGCAGGGTCTCTGGTTTCTGGGGTAGGGCAGATGGCAGAGCTAGCGAGGAAGGTGGGCCATGGCCAGAGAAGTTTCCTTAAGCACCTGGTACTCTGCAGCTCACCTCTGCACTCACAACTCCCAGCACAGAATCCGGTACCCAGGAGGTGTGAAATGATGTGAAATGCAAGAAGGTGAGAGTATACCAGGGGCATGCTCAGAGGACAAACTGGAGCGCAGGATAGAAGAGGCCAGGAAGTCTTGAAGGCCAGATAAACAGCCTAGATTTCAAGCTAGAGGCAATAGGGAGTCTTGGCTAGGTTCTGAGAAAGCGTGTGGCCTGGTCAAACAAAGGCATCTGAAGAAATGTATTCATGTTTCCAGAATACAAGTCAAGAGGTGGGTCTTGATGCTTTCTCCAACCTGAGTTGGTGGCAATCCTTCCCCAGAAAGCCGAGGGACTGGCCATAAGTTCACTAGGGTGGCAAAGTGCCTTTGGTACAGCAAGTGCTCTGGCCAAGAGGACAGTAGGCAGCCTGGCTCAGCCTGGGTTCTGTCCCCTAGATCCTACCTCAGGAAGCTCCAAACAGGTCAGCAGCTGGACGTCCCCTAATCATGTTACCTGTGGGATAGGGGAGCCCCGTGAGGGCACAGAAGGCGGAGCTGCAGCTCCCAGACCTGCACAGGGACTAACTTCATCAAAACCCCCACCACAGCATTAACTACCTGACCTCTGCCTCTGCCGACCTGCTAATTTCACCAATTACTGGCCAACTTCGGCTGCCTGGAGTGAGCCTGCTTAGCACTGACAGCTGCCGGGCAAATCCAATTATGTCCGGCAGCCCCAGCACTCTCCCAGACCTGGATCCAGAGGCTAAAGTTGGGTCCAAAGGGGCTGGAATGCTTGCAAGGCCCTGTCTTCTTGAACCTCAAAAGTCCAGAGTGCTGAGCTCCCTGCCTCTCTCTGCAATACCTCTTTGAACAGCCTCACCTGAAGCTGGTACCTTCTTCTTCCAACACCAAATCTAGCTTCCCCTTCAGCTGAGGGGCACAGCTTAGGGATCCTTGCTGAACCCCTGCATCAACCCTGTGCCCCATTTTACAAGTGGACAAACTGAAACCCAGACAGGTGGCGATCCGAACCAGGGACTCAACTCAAACCCCAAACCAAATCAAGCTCCTAAACTGGCCTTCAGGAGTCCTAGTGTGGCACTGTGGGTTAATGCACCAGACTGCAAAGCCATTTGAACTGCAAGGTGGGCGATTCAAGCTCACCAGCTGCTCCTTGGACACCCTATACAAGGTTGATATGGATTGGCATCTACTCGACTGTACTACAACAACAAACTGGCCTTCAAGGCCTCACACCCTGTCACCTCTTTGAGAGAGTGCATGGGTGGGGGTGTGGGGGGGAGGAGCGGGAGGCAGGAGACTGCTCTCTTTAGAAGGCATCGCCCCAGCCTGCTGCTGCCTCTCTGGTCCAGCCTCTCCCTACCTCTTCCAGCCTGGCATCATTCCAGCAGCCAGAGGGATCCTGTGAACATTTCAGAATTTGTGAGACATGGTAGACACCAGAATCCTCCCTGAACTTACACCACAGCTCTGCTCTAGCCCCACTCATCTCGATGCCTAGGCATGTTCCTGCCTCAGGGCCTTTGCACTGCCTGAACCCTTCTCCTAGGCAGTCAGGTAGCCCAACCCCTCATATCCTTCAAGTCTGGACCACTCTGTTCCCTCAGCCCCACCCAGCTAACCTCTCTGGTCC